GTGTTGATCGTGGTAATTACATTGCTGTCTATGCAGGGTCAGAGAGCTCTCAGAATTCATCAAAAATATCTTAATTTGTGTTCTGAAGATGAATGAAGGTCTTACGGGTTTGGAACGACGTGAGGGAGAGTAATTAGTGACAGAATTTTCATATTTGGTGAACTAACCCTTTAAATATTCATCTGTTTTTCGTCACATTGAACTATGGAATGGCTTCAGAACACTTGAAATATAGTGTACGAAAACTTGATGGTGCTTTATAAAGTTTTTGTGCCTTTTGTGGGGCTTAACGATAACAGAATAGTATACACACAATATCAGATTTGGATCGGTCTTGTCTTATCGATACCTATAAGAAAATGCCAGCATCGGAGCCGATACCGATACTGAGTATCGGATCGATGCATCCCTAGGCTAAACAGGCAGTGATGTAGAATCAGTGGGCGGAGCTAAACAAGCAGTGCTGTAGAATCGGTGGGCAGAGCTAAACAAGCAGTAGAATCTGTGGGCGGTAGGGTTGCTGCGATAGATGGTGTTAACTGTTTTACAGTCAACCGGTGTGAAGCCTCTACACCGGTTATGTCACTTGCCCACCACGACACCGACCCCACCGTCGTTTTGATTTTTTATAGTAATAAAAATAATTTAGTTCAGTTAAAGAACAGACACTACAATTAAAACTGAACGCGGCTGCTCAATGCAGTGTGCCGAACGACAGTCGCATCACATCAGATTTAATTTATCACGTGAGAAGCTGACAAGAAGAGTGAGGTGAGACAGACAAGACGATGACAGAAGAGTTTCAAAACGACATGCAAAAGCGCCTGTTTAAAAAATATTTTGGATTTTGAAAAGCCTGTTGACTTCTGCCATTTATATAAAGTGATATTGGAAGTTTTTTTTTTAAACATTCGTTTCTTTTTTATTTGGTTCCACAGTGTTTGCTGATTTTTATTTAAACTGTTTTTTTTTTACGTCAAGTATGCCGTGTCTCCAAGCTTTCTTATTTGTTTTGCTAATAAACATACGTTTCTTATTTATTTGGTTCCACAGTGCTTAGCTTACTGATCTTCAGTTTTGTATACCTAAACTTTGTGTAAGTTATTTGTCATTTTATATTAGGCATATAGCATGGTGTATTTTTATTCGTTTTGTTAATAAAAGTTCTGTGTTCTACGTTGTATTTTGTTGTTGCTTGAATTGAATCAAGCAATTGATGCCGAATTGCCGCTAATTTGAAAGTGAACGTAAAATGCGCACAACGATTTTAAGCTATAAAAGCGAAGGAAAGTGAGCAAAAGAGGGAAAACTCAAACGAACTAAAAACAAACAACTGCTTGACGCCGAATTGCCGTTAATTTGAAAGTGAAAGTAAAATGCGCACAGCGCTTTTACAAACAAAAATTTCCTCACTGTCACAATCGGTGGGCTGAGCTAAACAGGCAGTGCTGTAGAATCGGTGGGCGGGGCTAAAAAGGCAGTGATGTAGAATCGGTGGACGGGGCTAAACAGGCAGCGATGTAGAATCGGTGGGCGGGACTAAACAGGCAGCTATGTAGAATCGGTGGGCGGGACTAAACAGGCAGCTATGTAGAATTGGTGGGTGGGGCTAAACAGGCAGCGCTGTAGAATCGGTGGGCGGGGCTAAACAGGCAGCGATGTAGAATCTGTGGACGGGGTTAAACAGGCAGCGATGTAGAATCTGTGGACGGGGTTAAACAGGCAGCGATGTAGAATCTGTGGACGGGGTTAAACAGGCAGCAATGTAGAATCGGTGGGCGGGGCTAAACAGGCAGTGATGTAGAAGCAGGCGTTGATCATCTTCTGCGGAGGCGGTGCTTATCCACACTAATACATCATATAGTAGAACATTCCACAAGCTGTGGTTTTGGCAGACTGCCTTCAATATAAGCTGTTTTTAGACTAATGAGAAAGTTTTGAGTTCTGAAACTTACAAAGATGTTTTTATATTACAATGACCTTGTGACGAGTGTGGCGAGGCCAAGAGCCGTGGAAACGGAGCGATATTTCAAAATATCAAGGGAATTTTGGTTTCTCAGTTCATGACCCCTATAAAGATAAAGTGCATGGACATGTTAAGCGTGAACTCAATCAGTGCACTCATGCGTCCATTATGGCACTGATGATGCTCATTGTGTTTGCGTGCAGGAGGAATGGGGAGCTTCATCAGAGCACTGTTTCTGATCGCTGTTGGGTTGGCGGTGTGTCAGCAGACGCTCGCTCACTCGCACCATCATCACGAACACTCTCACGGAGGTGGCGGCTGCCACGGACACTCACACGGAGGGGTCAAGATGCATCATGGGGCCAGCAAATGGAGCGCTGAAGCCAACCTGCCCCATGCTGAAGAGGAGCATCACGGGCATGTGCACGATCACGGGCATGCACATGATCACGATCATGCTCACAACCACGCACACGATCACGGACATGCACACGATCACGGACACGCACACGATCATGGACATTCACACAAACACGGAGCAGAGCGAATGAAAAGCGATGTGGAAGCAGGGAAGCGGAACATGGTGGAGCTCTGGATGCAGGTAAAACACGCTGATGGATGAGATTGTCACAGTATGTCAGTAACTTTAGATTCAGTGAATTCTATAAAATGTTAATACTTAATACAGTCATAAAGTACTTATAAATCATTTGCAAACTAGTCAGTTCATAGTTTATAAACTGTAGTCTGAAATTGTTAGCACATTCCCAGCTAATAATTTTTGGTTCCCAGAACGTTAGTTTTTTGTTTGTAAAATGTTCCCCTAACATTATTCCAATGTTCCCAGAATGTTAGTTTTTTTGTTCCCAGAACATTTTTTGTTTGTTTGTAGAACATTAGTCTAACATTCCCCAAACATTACAATAATGTTTTGACTCCCAGAATGTTAGTTTTTTTTTTTGTAAAATGTTGCCATAACGTTAGTTTTTTTTGTTCCCAGAACGTTAGTTTTTTGGTTTCTAGCTTTCCCCTAACAATATTATAAGGTTACCAGAATGTTAGTTTTTTGTTTGTAGAACATACCCATAATGTCGTTATAACGTTCCCAGAACATTATTTTGTTAAGGTTTTTTTTTTTTTTTTGGTTTAGCAGTTTTCTTAGCAGAAGTAGAACGTTAGTTTTTGGTTTGTATAATATTATTATAACGTTATTTTAACATTCCCTTAACGTTATTATAATGTTTCCCTAACCTCTTTACTCCAATATGATTACCCCTTGGTACATCAGTAATCATCCAGCACACTCACGACCCAGTATAGTATAAGTGGTATGGACGCCTAATCAGTATTACAGAAATCATATCTTGTTTTCATCTATGATTTTAATTACTTGACTTACATTCATACAGTGCATTAATTTCTTACTACTGAAGTGTACAGTTTGTGCAGCGGGACATTCTTCTTTTGATCCGTAAACAAAAACTTCTCGTTTAACATCATGTTCTCTTCAGTTAGGCATGTCAAATCCCTCCGAAATCATATTTACTCTCATAATTATATTAATTTTAAGTAATCTTTCAATAAAGAGATCGATGAATGAACGAGTCAGTTAGCCAGTAAAACAAAATGACCGTTAATTTTTAAATTCTGTGAGAGTGGTGAAGCGAGAGTAAATGAAGATTAAACAAACCCACGCATTTATTATTTCTGTTATCACTCTATGCTTAACCCTGGCTTATTATAATTTAAAACGTGTTTTGATTGATCTAATTTCTGTATTTGAATAAATACAGTATTTTATTTGCATTAAACAAATTTCAGGACTCTGTGTCATTACACAAAAAAAAAACATCTGCAACGTTTCATTAGAAAGATAGTTTACAGGGTTATAAAATAACCTGAGAATAACCATTAGGAAATGTTCTGTATGAGTTATTTTTAGGTTATTTAAAAAATATCCACCCTGCAACTTTCTGGAAACTTTATTTTATGGTTGGAAAATAATAATCTTGAATTTGATTGCTTCCATTGTCCTCATTTGTAAGTCGCTTTGGATAAAAGCATCTGCTAAATGACTAAATGTAAATCTAATAACCTAAAAATAACGATTAGGGAACATTCTCTGTAAGTTATTATTAGGTTATTTTAAAAATAACCATACTGCAACATTCTGGGAACGTTATTTTATGGCTGCAAAAAATAACCATTAGGGAACATTTGTCTATAAGTCGTTTTTAGGTTATTTAATAATAACCACCATGCAACGTTCTGGGAAGCACATATTTTTATAATCCTACTGCTCAAAATACCTGGGATTTTCCCAAAATAACCACTATATGGAGTCAAGATATATTTTTGTAACGGATCATTAGAATCAGTGAGTTTCTCGAGAACAGCTGCAATCGGATCATTCCAATTCGTGAATGAATAATTTGGTGCGATTTGCGAAACAATTTAACGAGTTCATTGAAAAGAATCAGTTCGTTCATGAATCAGACACCGCTTCTGCATCTCGGAGCACATGATATATTATAAGGAGTAACGATATGTTTTATGAAATGTAGTGAAGTAAAAAGTACGATCTTATGCTTTGGAATGTAGTGAAGTAAAAGTTACTCAAAATAAAACTACTCCAGTAAAGTACAGATACTTGAAAACTACTCCGTTACTGTCCACCACTGGTAAATAAACTGCAGAATGTTGTTTTCTAATACACGCATGAACTGCATGTGTTCAAACAGCGCTGCGCGAGATCGTTAGCCAGGGTTCAGAGTCCAAAGCGCGAGGAAAATCTGCGCTGAAACAACGTTACTCATCAGTTGCTCAGAAACATTTTTATTAGGGCTGTCAATCAATTAAAATATTTAATCGTGATTAATCGCATGATTGTCATGAGTTAACTCGTGATTAATCACAATTTAATCGCACATTTTTATCTGTTCTGAATGTACCTTAAATTAATACTTTTCAAGTTTTTTATACTCTAATCAACATGGGCATGGATGCTTTATGCAAATGTATGTTTATTAGTGAAACAATACACAACATCGAGCATAAAGACTAGACATGATTCAAAGGTCATGGATGTTTTTCAAATAACTTGTTCATGTCTATTAGACACATGAAAAAAACAACATAGAAATACCAGGTTCCCATTACTTTTATTTGCTCTGAGCAATTTACTTACACAAGCCTGTTTACATTATTCACAGGACAGGGCAGCTCACTTCTTCTGAACATGCAAAATGTACATTTATTATTTATTATTACATTTGTTTGCCTCTCTATGCCCACATACTTAAAGGGTTAGTTCACCCCAAATGAAAATTCTGTCATTTTACTCACCCTCATGTCGTTCCAAACCTGTAATGGTGGAAGACGTAACTCAGTGGAGAAGAATTGTTAAATAAATTGTTATTTTTGTTTTCTTTGCGCTCAAAAAGTATTCTCGTAGCTTTGCAAAACTGAAGTTGAGCCACTGATGTCACATGGACTGTTTTACTACGTTTCTGGACCTGGGAACATTGCAGTTGCATTGCGGTCTATGGGAGGATCAGAGAGCTCTCACATTTCATCAAAAATATCTTAATTTGTGTTCTGAAGATGAACAGAGGTCTTACGGGTTTGGAACGACACGAGGGTGAGTAATTAATGACAGAATTTTCATTTTGGGGTGAACTATCACTTTAATTTTGATGCAGCTAAATTCTCAATAAAACTGTTTTCATTTATATATTTTGAGAATGAGAAACAACATAATATCTGTTTTAACTGAAAGCGAGTTGCTCCTCTCAGCCGCTCGCTGAACATAGCAGACGCAAAACCTCACGCTCGCACGGCAGTACCGGCGAGTCTCAGAAACTAAATAGGCATAAGGTTTGGGCAAACCCTAAAGATTTGTCGCTAGGCGCTTTTTTGAAAGAAAGTAAAAAAAAATAAAAATCGCTAAGTTGGCAACACTGTGCACCTCCATTTTTCCAACTACGGGCTAGGCTACGGGTCAAAAAGAAAATGCGAGCTGTGTTAATCGTGCGTTAATAAAATTAGTGCCATTAAAATGAATTTGCGTTAATGCGTTAACACATTAATTTTGACAGCCCTATTTTTTTTATTAATTTTTACAAGGCATGTGACAATGCGATATGTGCGACAAATTCGTATTGAGAATCATTTATAAATCTGCTGTTGTCAACAAAAAGAAACACTGAGGTCTTCTTGCGGGTTTCCGCCAAAAGAAAAGCTGAGAAAAAGCATGTCAATGCATGTAAATATTTTCAAAATATATACTGTTTGTGTGTGTATTCATATATACGTAATAAATATACACAGTACACACACATATATTATGTAAATAAAAACGTTTATTTTGGATGCGATTAATTGCGATTAATCGTTTGTCAGCACTACTTTTAATATATTAATAATGTAGAAACTACAAATTATTAACTATGAATTAACTATAACCTAATAGTATTCAAATGATTTGGGTTTTTTTGTAGTTTTTTTACTGCTAAGTGTTTTTATGTTTTGAATAATGTGTAGTCATAAGTGTGCATATATCAGCTGTTTGACAACAGGCTGTTTTACATGACTCATGCAATCAGATTACAAACTGCTGGACCATCTGAAGTTAAACAAAATAATCAAAATAATATTGACTTGATCAGAATGGGATTAGGTTATGTTTACATGTATATATTTAAAGCTATAGAACACATTAACCATAGAAAAATAATATTCAGAACATTTAGATAATTCTGACATGTTGTTTTTATTTGTCAGTCCTCAGGCGCTCTGCAGTGCCTCATCTAACCTCCAGGGGTCTGTGGAGGTCCAGCTGTAAACAGGACTGTAAGACTCTGAGTTTTCTCTCTCTCTTTGCTGGTTTTAGGCAGTTGGAGCGACTCTGCTCATCAGCGCTGCTCCCTTCCTCATCCTCTTCCTCATCCCGGTGCAGTCAAACACGGACCAGCACCAGAACCTGCTCAAAGTGCTCCTGAGCTTTGCGTCCGGAGGTTTGCTCGGAGACGCGTTCCTGCATCTCATCCCTCATGCGCTGGGTGAGTGAGTCACGTGACCATCACATCCTGTCACATGACCGACCTTAGCCTTGTCTGTAGTTTCCCTTGCCGTCTATACTGGAATAATATAAATATATTAGCGTACTCAAGTCAAGTCCGAACTGAAGTCTTATTACAATGCAGATTGTGTCAAAGCAGCTTTACAGTATTAAACGGAAATAGTGTGCCATTCTCCTCTGGCCAGACGAGACCAGCAGTTTCATTCTAGGATGCAGCAGAGTTTTCTGAATTGTGTATTGTTTTAGCTGTATAAATCCATGTCTAGCTTTGGTAGTGTAGATTTCATTTATATGAAGAGCTGACTCGCCTACTGTTGCAGGCAGATGTAGTTCTGAAATCTGCCCTGCTAACCAGTCGAACCTTCACCCCTCGATTTCATCTCAACACAGAGCCTCATTCTCATCACGGCCAGTCGCACGGAAGCGGCGAGTCACATGGTCACTCACACGGTAGTGAGGAGTCACATGGTCACTCACACGGTAGGTTATTGTTCAATCCCTGAACGTTTTTTTGTAACCCAAGTTATAATTCGGCCCAGTGGAATACAAGAATGTGCTTTATTGGAAGATGTTCTTTTGTTTTTCTGAAGAGTCAGTCCGAGCTCGGTTTCTGTCGCAGGTGCAGGTCATGGTCACATGATGTCGGTGGGGCTGTGGGTGCTGGCTGGTATCGTTGCGTTTCTGGTGGTCGAGAAATTTGTTCGTCTTTTGAAGGGAGGCCACTCTCACTCTCATGGTAAGAGTCTTAAACTTATCCCATTACATCAGGGCTGCTTGATTATGGCAAAAATCATAATCACGATTATTTTGGTCAGTATTGTAATCACGATTATTTAAAACGATTTTGACCAAAACCATGATATGACCAAAACTTTATATGAATTAATTATTTAAAGGTAGTGATATATATATCAAACATGTATTTTCTGTAAATAAGGTTGCTATGACATCTACATTTTGGAAGAAAAAAAAAAAGTAAAAAAAAAAAAAAAGGCCTCAAAAATTATTAAAAAGTAAACACTCAGTAATACAATAAAAAATCTAAGGTGGTAAGTGCTTTAAGTGCTTAAGTCTAAAGTATTCAGCGAACAGCCTACAGAAATTGAATAATTGTAAAATGTAAATAAATGTAAAATAAAACAGCATAGTCTTCACTGTAAGAATCAAACTGGCTCTGTTTCTTATTAAAGCTACAAAAGCCCTTCAGTCAAGAGCAGTGAGTGATTTTCTCTTTTGTATTTGTTATTTTTGATTAATATTAAGCACAGAGACGGCAGATGGAATATTACCTTCATGGATCCAGTTTACTGTTACTCTTGTATTTCATTCTCAACTGTTTACATACTCTTAAGAGATAACTGCCGAGGGTTTATGCTAATAATCACTACGCGCCACATTTTGACACATCTGTGCGTGTATTTGAGTGTTTAGGCATGCACCTTGAGCTAAACGTTCACTCCATGTTCTGCTCCGTCTCCGAGAGCATGCACAGAACAGCACAAGTTCTCTTTCACACAAATAAACATGAATAAATCAAGCACATCCCATTTTGCGAAAATCACGTTACATGATTTTACTGATTTGCACATGAAGTTTGGGCTTTTATTGAGGAGCGAAAGCACACCACTGGAAAGGGGGCAGTGATTATTTTATCTCGATTATTGTATTTTCATAACCGTTAGGAACAGCAGATAGACTGAGCAGCTGTTCCCAGTGATGTAGCAGAAAATAACAGCACATTACCATCAATCCTGCTGCTGCTAAATAATACTGAAATAGAATTTAAAAAAATATTTTTTTATTTTTATAAATGGATTTATTTATTTATTTTTTATTTTTTAACAGTGATCCGGACGTTGCTGACAGGTTTCCAAATACAATAAAAACCCTTTCTTGCCATGTTTTCAGCTGCTCCAAAAGCAAAAGACAGCGATGAAGAGGATGAGGACAAGAAACCAGAGAAAGAGAAGAACGCTGACTCTGATAAGAAACCTGCGCAGAAACCCGCCGAGACGACTTCCGGTATGAAAGAGCTCCGGTGTTTGAGCTGCTGTGTGTCAGCGCCGTTGTCTCGCTGACAGGAAAACTGTGTGTCTGCAGATATTAAAGTGTCCGGTTATCTGAACCTGGCTGCTGATTTCACCCACAATTTCACGGACGGGCTTGCGATCGGAGCATCGTTCCTGGTCGGCCCGGCGGTCGGCGCCATCACCACCATCACCATCCTCCTACACGAAGTGCCACACGAGATCGGAGACTTCGCCATTCTTGTCCAGTCGGGCTGCACCAAGAGGAAGGTAGAGAGCTGATCTGTCAAACGAGTCGACCCAAAGAAGAGTTTGGTGTTTGTTCTTCACCCTGAATTGTGCTATTTTCTATGGGTGTTGAAATGAATCGATGCATCTGGACGATTCAGTGTTGTTTTGTAATTGATTTTTTTTCTTTGAAAAGCAAGACAAAACAGTAAAAAGCACATTTTGGCTATTTCATTTATGCAATAGTGAAAAAATTGGCAAAATACATGGGGGGAAAAAAACTCGAAAAACCGTGTTCGGCTTTCGGCCCAGTGTTTCATTTTGTTCGGTTTCAGCTTCGGCCAAGAATTTTCATTTCGGTGCATCCCTAAATTTATTTTGATTTATTATTCATTTGTAATCATTTTAAAAAGTAGCCTGCTTACATAATTTCATAAAATTGCACAAAATAAATGATATAATGGTGATGAATTGAATTGAATGGAATGGTTGACATGATAGTGGTAATGGAATGGTGACAGTGATATGACTCACACCTCTACTGTTGTGCTCAGGCCATGTGTCTCCAGCTGCTGACGGCCCTCGGTGCGCTGGCTGGAACCGCCTGCTCTCTGCTGGCTGAAGGGGTGGGAGCCGCGGCCACCGCCTGGATCCTGCCCTTCACCGCCGGAGGCTTCGTCTACATCGCCACCGTCACCGTGCTGCCAGAGCTGCTGGTGGGCCGCTCCAGTCTCTGGCAGTCGCTGCTGGAGATCCTGGCCCTGCTGTTCGGCGTGGGAATGATGGTGCTGATCGCCGAGTACGAGTGAGCCGTGTCTGAGAGAAGAAGCTGTAAAACCAGGCCAATAGACCAGTGCAGGGTCACCTGATCTCTAGAGACCAAGAGTGTGTTGAGATGAATGATAGCATTGACCACAGAAACAAAAAAACTGAATGAATGAGGGAGAGAGTGAAAGAAATGAAGTGCTGAGCTGCACTCCAGACCAACATGAATGGATCACTTAATCATTTTAGGCACAGGAACCTTCCCAGGGACCAGCAGCTAGAAAGTCCCCTGCACTTCTGTGTACTGATACAGACAGGATCGACAAGATCAGACTGAGAGATTTGACCATTACATTCCCAAGATGCATCGTCTGTGTTTGCTGAAGCGTTCCGATAAATGCTCGTGCCTCATCAGTACAGCTTTTCTAGAAATTATGTTACATGATTAAATCGTTTGATTTTGCTATTCGCACAATAAAGGTTAACGTGATTCTTTCTTAAGCAGCGTGTGCTTTCTCTTTGACAGGGAGATTCTTTGATTCCTCTGATGAAATATTCAGCTGCATAGCTGTTACTCAGTGACACACTCATACATACACACACACACACACTTTACTAACCCTGGATTATGAGGACAATCGGGGTTTAACTGGACTTCATT